CTTCTGCACGCCCCCAACTGGAGCCAAGGATAGAGCCTGCAACCGAGGTACGTGTCCTTGATCAGAATCGAACCTGGGATCCAACTAGCTAGGACTATTTTTGTTTTTTACTAAAGAAAAAGGGAAAAGAAATTTTGGGGGAAATTAGTAGCTTCTGCTTAACTTCTCTGTGCTGTGAACTACTTCACAGGGTTTTACTCACCTTTGCGTCTCCAGCACTTAGCAGCTGGCTATTCAGTAATGTTTGTGGCATGTCACTGAGGAAATGAAGGGCGGTTCTTTCCTCAGACCACTGAAGGGCACTCACAAGTTTAAGGGTTACACCCCCATCAGAGGGGGTTGGCGTTACCCTCTTCTCAGTGTAGATAATAGATCTTATTGGAGAGGCTTCAGGATGTAGCAGGAACATCATGAGCCTTCAAGTCAGAAATCCTGTCTCTGTCCCTTACTTCCCGGGTGACAGTGGGCAGAGTGCCTAACTTTAAGCATCTTGTCTTTAAAGTGAAAATACAGATGTCTGTCTTGATGGGGAGTTATTCCTTCACCAGTACAGAGTTTTTTATTTCGGGTGATGAAAAGTTTTGGGAATAGATAGTGGCGGTGATTTCACAACCTTGTGAATGAAATTATTGCCACCGAACGGTTTAGAAAATTTCCGACCTCGCAAGTTTGCCGTATTTCTGTGTGTGCCTCATGTGAGTTCATGGAAGAACATGACAAGGGAAACTAGAAATGGGCAGAAGTAAAAAGCAATCACAAAAGCGTGGTCTGGGCTGGTGCAAGGGGTGGAGGACTGTGGTCAGAAGATAGTAATTACATTTTCCAAGAATATTTGAGTCTTGTAACCAGAACCCTTTGTGGTCTCTTGGCAGCATGCAGACTGTGCGGAGAAACATCTGACGTGCAGATTTAGTGGCGCAGTGGTTCTCTGGCGGCCTTCTGAGCAGAACTGATAGTGCTTATGTTTGCAAATCCTCAGACACTTTATAAAATGACTTGGTGAGACGAGAGTTCACTCAATCTGGTCAGAACTAGTCATTCAACTTCATTTTGAGCAACACTTAATGCACCGATATGCAGTCATTAAGGCTAGTAATCAATATTCTGGTTCTTACCTCAGGACACAAGGTCAAATTTTATTTCCCCGCTGCCTTTGCTAAAGCAAAGGCAAGAAGAGCAGACGTAATGTGTGGCGTGCTGAGTGCAAGTATTCCCCTCTTCTTACCCTGCCTCAGTGATTACAGAAGCACACGACGAGATGAGGCCTCCATCACCCGTGTCTGAGTGACTACAATGAGCCATGCTCTTCACCCTGCACTAAACATGCAGCATGAGGGAGGAAAAAACTTTTCTGTGTTATGCCACGGAGCTGTTGGCACTGTTGGCTCCTGCAGCATTACTTAGCCTAACCTGATCCATACTGTGTGTCTTGCCCTGGGCCAAGTGAGTATTTTACCATAGAGATTAAACTCTATAGAGTCAGGGAGCCTGAGCCTCAATCTGAATTAGCTACTTTCTCACAGTGTGATCTTGAACAAATCAATACGCATCCTAGAAAATGGGATTAATAATGGAAACCACCTCATCCATCGGGTTTTTATGAGGATTAAACTAGGTGAGCAACGTAGCCCAGCACATAGCAAGCCCTCAAAAAAGTTGGATGATGATGATCTCATTTAGTTCTCATTTAACTCTGCGTAAGATTTGCTGATGAATCAAACCACTGAGTTTCGGCACTGTTGATGCAAGGAATAAGAGAAAGTTTTGAGATTAGAATCCAGCCCTGACCCATCAATCCACCTTTCGGGCACAGCTCTATGTCCCTGGAAGCTGTCCAGCTCCCGGGTGCAGCCTCGTCTTCTTCTGTCCTCATCTGCTCTCCAGAGGCCTCATTACTTACTCAACGTCCCCAGTGACCAAATGCATGTACAGTACTTCCCTGCGGCAGAGACGCAGAGCTACAGCCTCCAATCCTGGTCCCTCAGAGACTGTCCAGCTGTCCCGCCTGAAAGGGAGGCCAGGAATCAGACCCTGATACATGGGATCCATTTGATTCCCTTCTGCATGAGGCTCACCTCTTAGTCTTTGGAAGCCAAATGATTTACTTAAACCTTTTTAAATTGATTCTCCTGGTAAAAATCACCTGAAGATGCAAAAGGGTGTAGAGAGATGCCTCTCTCCCACCCTGCTCTCTAGACGCTCAGTTTCCCTCCCCAGAGGTAACTATGGTGGCCCATTCCCTCAAAGTGGGTTTCCCAATGAGTTCCTTATTTCTCTGGCTGCACCATTAGGGGCATGCACTTCTGGGGCGAGTATCCTTCCTGCCTTGTTGATGTTCCCACTGCTCTCCCACCAGCAACACCTCCTTCTGGCCTCCTAATCCTGCATATCCGGCTCCATCTGTTCAAACCTTCTTCTTCAGGAAGAACTTTTTAGCAATTTCAGCTGTTACTCATCACTCTTCTTTTTGACAGCAGGACTATTTCCGTCACACACTGGACACTTTGTCATATCCAATTTATCAGGTGTTAGTTTCTAACTGCTTGGTGTGGGCCACCCTCCCTTCGCCAACCAGCCTGCAGGTTGACTGTCTTTCCCCAATGGCTTCTACCACCTACATCCTGATGACTCCCAAATCCACTCTTCTGACCTTCAGACATATTTTCCATTGAAACTGGGCATCTTCCCAGTTGCCCTCATGGGAATGTTCAAAACGAAATCTTGCTTTTTGACCTTAATTTGCCCTACTTTTGGAATTTCCTCTCTCAATGAATGGCATCAACATCTATTTTGTCATCCAGACTTGAAACTTCAGTCACCTGAACCCCAACTATCTGCAGGCCCCCCTGCCCCCCCTAATCAAAGAGGATATGTGCTGGGGAGGCAGGAGAAAACGCATCACAAGCCATGTCAATTGCATAACAACCCCCCCCCAAAAAAAACAGCCCTCCAATTGGTCTTTTTCTCTACACTCCCACTAGCTCTACCCTTGGTTAGACTCATACCATCTCTTGCCTGGTTTATAGAAATTGCTTCCAAATTGGTCATCCTCCTTATATTTTAATCTTTCTTCCCTCCAATTTATTTTCTCCTCCCCTGGCAGTGTCATCATTCTAAAGGACAATGGTAGTCATGTCACTTTCCTGATCAAAAACTTTTCAGGGTTTCCCTCTTGCCTCCAGATTCACCTCCTGTATTCCTCCCCACCCTTCCCACTACCACTATCCCCTTACTCCCCTCATTTGGGTAAAGTGACCACCTTTCATTCTCTAGACAGGCTGTTTAAAAATGGTCTCTTTTTGCCTTAGCTGGTTTGGCTCAGTGGCTAGAGTGTCAGCCTGCAGACTGAAGGGTCCAGGTTCAATTACAGTCAAGGTCACATGCCTGGGTTGCGGGCTCAATTCCCAGTGGTGGGGGGGGGGTTGCATGCAGGAGGCAGCTGATCAATGATTCTCTCATCATTGATGTTTCTATCTCTCTCTCCCTCTACCGACCTCTCTGAAATCAATAAAAATATATTTAAAAATAAAATGAAAATGGTCTTTTTTTCTTGGTGATGTTACTATCTCATGTTCCTAAGCACTGTTTAGTGTTTCTAGGCTCAAGAAGGCTGTAATGTGCCTTATAGAGAAAATACAAGTTTTTAAAATGTGTTAAACAAGCATCATTCACTCTGATAGTTATAGTTAGAGGTTATAGTGCTGTTGGTCATGGATGCAATATTAATGAGTCAACAATATATACTAAATAAGGCATCTTTAAACAGAAGCACACAAAAAATAAGGTTATATAGTGGTAGGTTGATGAAAATGTGACCAGAGGCTTACGGAAACCTAGCCCTGTATTTTCCCTATGAACAATGGTTTGGTATTTGCTAATTCAGTGTTCACGGTGACTTTATACAGCATAACTGCTGCAAATAACAAGAATTAACTATATTTACTTGTTTGTAATGACTCACAGAAAGAATGAAAACCCAGTGAGGGCAGACACTTTGCTTCTGCTGGAACAATGCCTGGCACTTAATAAGTTCTCAATAAATATTTGTTGAATGAATGAATGAATAAATGAGTTAGAAGACACTTTGCCTAGACCTTAGAAGAGGGGAAAATTGCATCTTTATTTTTATTATTTTGAAATTAAACAGTTCATTCAATCATGAGTACAGGCAATAAATCACAGTAACACTACCAGTGTTTGTGACAGTCACAAAGAAGTCACTGGTATTTTTAAATCACAGTACAGTTGTAGGTACTTGAAATATAATTTCACATTCACCAGGACTTCAAATTATAGTCGATACTTTGTCCACTAACAAATATCATTATTTTTCATGTGTTCATAAAGAAACATTTGACACCAATATTTTAATAATTGTACTTGAGAATAATTAATTTCCTTTGAAATTCTGTGGTTTTTTTTACTTCTGCATTGAAAGAATTAAAGCATTCTGAGAAAATCTCCATCAGCCTCCCCAGACTAAGTCCATGGCACAAAAAAGTTTAAGACCCCTGGTCCACCTTCAGGTCAAGGCCATATTCAGGTAACACGTCCAGGGCCATGAAGCTACTTAGACACAGAACTAGTGTCCACACCCAAATCTGCATACAAGCGTCACCAGAGTGGGCCTCTTCGTTCTGAGGGCTCCTCCACAAAGACTCTCCTCTGCATCCCCTCTCACACCGGAGGAGCACTGGCGGAAAGTTTCCAGTGAATTCCATAAAGCGTATGGAGCGCTGACCACGTGCAGAACCTGCTCACAGGAGCTGGAGGACACTGCTCTTCCACGTATGGCCTGAAAACTTACTGGCCAGTGATGAGAAAAGTATAGAAATCGAGAGTAGGGGTGTAGAGACTGTTATAGCAACTTGAACCTAGCAATAATGGAACTAAGGCTTATATTTTTATATGTTGTTGGTTTGTAAATTTCATTTTATTTTACAAAATCATCAGTCTGCAATGGATTGGAAATTTACAAAAGTAAAAACTAAACAAAAAAAACGCTGGTCTTTCCTTCACACAGAGTTTGCGAATCACCATCGTGGGAGGATACAGTGGACAGAGAGTGGGGAAGGAGGCTTGGATACAGCTGGGCAAATGCTCTGAAAGACACGAATAAAATGCTGGACACGGAAGCACATCAGACGAGCAGAAATGGGGAAGGCAGAGGGAGGAGGAGGCACTTGAGCTGTGCTTTGCCCGATGCCTATGGGTGGAGAGGATACCTTTCAGGGTGTTCCAGGCGATGCACTCAGCGAGGCTAAGGCAAGGACAGTAGCATCCAAGGTGTGTCAGAGAAGGCTGTTATCAGGCACGCAGGGCGAATGTCTGCGGTGAGTGAGGACAGGAGATGGTGGGAAGCATCCTGGACGGGCTAGTGACCTTGGAAACATGCTGAGGACGTGGGGCTTTTTCTGGAGGCCAGGAAGAACTGTGGACCTACTTTGAATAGGGAATTAAATGATAACATTTGAGTTTCAAATGGTAATAATTGTTGAGCCAGCTCAATTTTAAAAATTCTCAGGCACTGACTTGCAGAGGAGAGAGTTTCGCTCTTCCATCAGAATGTGCAAATACACGAAGATTGATTTCCATGCCTGGATGAGCACGTGCAAGGCTGTGCATGAAGGAGCAGTGCTCTGGAAAACCAATGTGCCTCTTTTCTCCTCTCTTCTCCTTTCCCTTCTTCTTGCCTCTCTTTTCTCTTCTCTGTCTATTACTAAGCACTGCCCAATAGTACCTCCTGTGATGATGACAATGCCTGTATCTATCTGCACTGTCCGCCACCAGCCACATGTGGTCACTGAGCCTTTGAAGTATGGCTACTGGCTGAGAAACTGAATTTTAAATTTTATTTAATTGTAATGAATTTAAATTTAAAAGGCCACATTTTGGCTATTGGGTACCATATTGGATAATACAGTAACTTTCTCTACAACAAAAACAGAGAAGAAAAATGTAGATGCCAAGGCGGGTTGTCCTGGCACGGTTCGTTAATGAGAGCAGTCAAAAGAGAGGGAAGGTGGAAATGAGTCCTCTGCTTTTAACCCAAATGTGTATGTTGTTTTTTTAAAATATATTTTATTGATTTTTTACAGAGAGGAAGGGAGAGGGATAGAGAGTTAGAAACATCAATGAGAGAGAAGCATCGATCAGCTGCCTCCTGCACACCCCCCACTGGGGATGTGCCCGCAACCAAGGTACATGCCCTTGACTGGAATCGAACCTGGGACCTTTCAGTCTGCAGGCCGACACTCTATCCACTGAGCCAAACCGGTTAGTGCTCAAATGTGTATGTTTTAATCTATTTGTGTCCAGTGGGCCTCTTGGAAAGAGTCCTGGAAGCCATGAGCTTGGGGTTCTCACCTGATATTGATGTGTTACCTTAGACAGGTCAGTGCCAGGGAAGGACGAGAACTAACGTCCACTGAGCAAAGTACCGGGCATGGGGTGGGGCAGCATTTTTACAGATCACCGCACTTGAATGTTCACAGCAAACCTGTGAAATAGTGTTTTTCTTCTGATGGCACAAGTGAGGAAAAGGAGTGTTGGAGAGGGAAGCGGTTTGTCCAAGTCTCCCAGGTAGTGAGGTAGAGAGAAGGTATTTAGTTGTCAGAGCCAGTTCTAAGGTCAGAGCTCTTTCCACTGCACCTCTGTGCTTCCCTAAACTCTCCACATCACCAACAAGACAGGACCTGGACCCTCGTGCTGTCTACCCTCCGAACGAAGATGAAGAGGACCCTGAAGAGTGGACAAGGCACAGGTGCTGAGTGTGCTCAGGGGAGGGAGGGAGGTGATTTTTTTCTGAGAGTGCAGACCAGGCACAGTGCTCTGAGGTGGTTCTGCACTCTCACTGACATTGAAAATACTTAAAAGTTTCCATTTAGAAATGCCCAAGGCCAGGCCTGTTTCAATCATGTAAAAGCCAATATCAGCTTGGAAAGGTTATCACAGCCTTTCCAATTCCAGTCAACATTAAAAATGCAAATGTTTGCTATTTAAATACAGCCTTGGCCACCAGCATCAGGACATAAGGCAAACCACAGCGGGCAGCCTTCCCCACCAAGGGCTCGCTTGTCTCCGCGGGAAGGAAGCGGAGGTTGTGCGGAAAGTCTGAGTCATACCAGGCTGATAGAGCCGTTTCCAGCCCCGTGGAGGTCTGGGTCCTCAGAAGTTGTCCAGCTTCGATCACTAAATCAGACAGCCATTCAATGGGGTAGGGAAGCTGTTAGTTTTCCTTGCCCTTGTTTTCCCAGTACCTAGCCCATTGCCAGATTCATGGTAAGAGCTCAAGGGTATTTTTAAAAAATATATATTTTATTGATTTTTTACAGAGAGGAAGGGAGAGGGCTAGAGAGAGTCAGAAACATCAATGAGAGAGAAACATCGATCAGCTGCCTCCTGCACACTCCCTACTGGGTATGTGCCCTCAACCAAGGTATATGCCCTTGACTGGAATCGAACCTGGGACCCTTGAGTCCAAAGGCGGATGCTCTATCCACTGAGCCAAACCAGTTAGGGCTCAAGGGTATTTTTGAATAAATAAATTCATTCCTTCATCGTATATTTTTTAAAAAAAGATATCCTATCATATCCCAGCACTGTGCTAGGCTGATAAATAGATACAGAAGCAGGACATTTTGGGAAATCAACTCAAGTAATTTACCACCTAGGAAGGATGAGAAGATGTGCAAATAAACGATCTATAATAATAAAAGCATAATATGCTAATTAGACCGGACAGCCGAACGACCTTCCAGACATAATTCCAGACGTCCTTCCTGACGAAGCCACTGTGGCGGGGGTGAGGCAGAGGCAGTTAGGCGAGATCAGGCAGGAAGGCAGAGTGGTTAGGAGTGATCAGGCAGGCAGGCAGAGTGGTTAGGGGTGAGCAGGCAGGCAGGCAGGCAGGCAAGCGGTTAGGAGCCAGTGGTCCCGGATTGTGAGAGGGTGCAGGCCTGGCTGAGGCCCCCCCCCCCATGCATGAATTTCGTGCACCGGGCCTCTAGTAATAACATAAAATAGTTAGCCTTACCATAAGTATGAATTCTGGAGTCTGTTAACAAAAGGTGCTTGAAGACGTGCCAGTTGAAGGCTGCTTGTGTGGTCGGACATGGGGGTTCTGGATGATCTCAGAGTAACTGGGCAGTGAGATCAGCAGTGGCAGCTTCTTGGAGGAGGTGCCAAGAACCATTCCCGGGGTGGGCTCGGGTGCTTGATAGTCTCCTCCACTCAGACTGCAGGTTTCATGGGGGCTGGCCTGTATCTTACTCAGCTCTGCACCCCAATACTCCACATGGGGCCTGACACATAGTAGGAAACAACATATGCTGAATAAATGAATGAATAAATGAATACAAGTTAGGAATCCATGAGAAATCCACAATAACAAGAAACATTTAGAGCATTTGCATGGAACAAACATTTGATATACATCTTTTTAACTAATTATAACAGTCAGCATGCAGCCAGGAGACAGAAACCACATCAGTTACGTGAACAGTGGGAATTTAATGAAAAGGATTGTTAACTAAGTGTAAGGTTGTTAACTAGGCAACCGAAAGGGTAAAATGAGAATTAAAAGCTAAAACAGAGATAACAGCTGTAGAAATTAGCTATCCCCCTAGGGATGAAAGACCACAGGGGGAAAGTTAGAATTATTAAAATTTAGAGGCTTCGTGGAGGGGCCCCATGAGCTGAAACTCAGACCGCTTTGGAGGGGGCACTGCTGGACTGGTGCTAACGTCTCTGATGGGAAGTGATGAAGCTAATTCTGTGTTGCAAAACTGCAAACTGGCTTCAGCTATGCTGTGGGGAGGACTAGCTGCTGCTAGGGAAAAGGTATTGCTGGGATGCTGTAGCTACCCAACAAACTCCTCTTCATCCTTCAAGACCTAGTTCAGATGTCACCTCCCCTGAGAGCCTTCCTGGTCTCTTTCTTCAGATATGAAGCCCACAGGAAGAAGCAAGTCTGCTCTTCCCCCTTCAGCCCTGCAGCTCCCTCTAGCACCCCCATTGGCAGAATTCAAGAGGGGGCCAGGAGGCTGAGCAGAAATGTGATTTGCAGAGACCCATCAACACAAAGCAGAGTACAGACGGGTTTGGAAATGAGATACCGTGACATCATAACTGGTACAGGAATCTTCCCATCATTGCTGTGATGTAGGTACTATTACACCCATTATACAGATGACAAAACCTACTGTCTAGAGAAGGCAAGGTGATTTGCCTAATAAGTTGATTGTGGCAGTGCCCAGATTTGAAGCCAGGTCCATCTGTTCTTAATGGCAATACTATAACAAGTTTTCTTCACATTTTTATGTCAAGGAGGTGTCAGGGGATAGAACAGATTTGAAGTCCCGGTGGTGTTTGGTTGGTAGCTGGGGATGAGATGGGGTTGGGCATTCAGGTATCAGCAGTAAGAGCAGGGTAGCAGACGTGGGGCAGTCCTGACAAATGTCTCCCAATGTGTCACTTTCATCTTTCACTTTACTATCCTTTAAGAACGTTGAGATCTTTATTCATTGATCAAAAATTAGCCACCCACAGCTGATCTATGATTCTCTCTCATCATAGATGTTTCTATCTTTCTCTCCCTCTCCCTTCCTCTCTGAAATCAATAAAAATATTTTTTTAAAAATTAGCCATCCAACAAACTCGTCTCCATCCATCAAGACCCAGCTCAGATGTCACCTCTCCTGAGAAGCCTTCCTGACCTACAGTGCCAGCCGTGCCTCCACGGTGCTCCCACAGGACTTGGTGCAGACACCTGGATGGAGTTTACCTATCTATATACTATAATAGATTATGGGCTCCTTGAAGGCAGGTCTGGGTCCATCTAGTCTCTGCCTGGTACCCAATGTCTAATGATGATTATAAAGGCTTGTTTCTTCCAGAAGTGTGCTTCTGTGGGAGCACTGACAACTCCAGGGTCACATGTTTTCACTCATTCTCTACCTTTCATAAGTTCCTGGTACAAGTGGTGAAGATGTGGAAAATAACCCAAAAAGCCAAACCCCCTTCATCTATCACCTTTTCCAACCCATTCTTCTCACTTCAGTTGGATGCAAACATAATCATCTGAAGCCCCTGCTAACGCCCTCCGAAGGCTTTCCACTGCTCTTGGGATGATGACTAGCTCATCATCATTGTCACCCATGTCCTCTGACACCTGCTCCCTGCCCCTTGCCAGACTCCCCACACCCCACCCCCTTTCTGCCTCCTTCTACTCCACCCTCCCTGAACTTCTTCAATTTCCCGAACTCACCAAGCTCTTTGCATCTTGGTCTTTGCAGGTGGGTTTCCCTTACCCAGGACCCTCTTTTCTTGCTCCCTTTGTCCAAATCACTCCAACTTATCTTTTAGATGGCAGCTGCTGAGTCACTTCCTCCGGGAGGTTATTGCCAGGGTAACCTGATGCTCCGAGCAGCCTGCTCCTGAACTGGAACGGCCTGCGTTTGCTCAGGACCAGAAGCTCTGTGTCAAGGGCTGTGTAAAAGATTTTCATTAATTAACTAAAAACTTAAAAACAACAAAAAACTAGGAGAGGTGTCTCCACGTGATTTTGGAAGTCACAGGCTGCCCAAGATGTGGTGAAATGACTCTTTCCCAGGGTCAAGGGCCCAGTGTGAAGAGGACCACTGGGATGGGGACAGGGCTCTGGGCCTGGAGTTAGGAGATCAGGTTGGAGCCTCGGCGACTTGGGGGGCAGCCCATCTGTCGCTGTGTTGGATTCTTCATCTCTAAAACAGGGATAATAGGGGAGGAAAACAAATGCTTCCTCTACTCTCCTAGGTTCTGCAGCTGAGGCTCAGGAAATTAAACAGACGAAAGACAGATTAACAAGAGAAAAAACAGTTGATGAATCATGCAGTATGCAAACACACCCGAGAAACTCAGTGATGACGTTCCCCAAGGGGTGGTTAGAATTTGATGAGTAACTCAAAGGGGTGGTTAGAATTTGAGGTTTATATAGCATCTTAATGAAGAATAATCAATTTATACAATAGTGATAAGACAAAGAGGTTTAAGCTTTTAGGGACTGCAAACTGTGGGTAAGTAAATGTATTGGGAAACCAATGGGAAATGGAAGTTATTTTAGTACAATCTAGAGTGCAATCTAAGAGTCTGGAGTTGTCTCCAGCAATTAAGATCTAAGAGTTGTCCTCCCGGGTCCTCCACTTCCTGGTACAGGAGAGGGAGATGCCTCTACAAATGGGAATTTATGTTCTGCTTTTAGGTAACTAGGGGGCAAGGGCGGAGAACTATTTTGGTGTCTGATGTATGTATCTCAATGGTCTTCATCTAAAAAAAAAATCCTTATGCCAACGTGGCATATTCTAATCCCCTACAGTCTAAACCTGCTTGATTGTTCCCTACACACAGGGTGGAGATGAGATGGCGTGTGTGGAAACTGTGAAGTGCTGTACCAAGGTCAGGCGTAGCCATTCCCATGATCACCGCCTGCAGGAGGCAGTCCAGGCCCCATCTTGAGAGGTGTATTCACAGCAGACCAAACTCAGGTCTTAAGCCTTCCTCCTCCTCCCCCAGGGCCAAGTGGAGGCTTTTTGTTTCCACCCTTGACAATCCCCTGGCCTCCCCTACCCCTCAGTGTCTTATGTCCCTTCAAGTGGAGGCTTTTTACAGAGAAGACACATCAAAGCCCCAGCTGTGGGTTTTTATAGTTCAATGTTGTACAAGCTGCCTTCTCGAGAGATAAAGAGTCTGGAGGAAACGTGGGAAAGCTAATCTAAACTTCCTGCTCCCCAGCCAGCACTCCCCATGCCTGACTCTTTTATGAGGAAGCCTACAGGCTGCTCCTGACCGTTTGCATCATTCATGATCCCCCTGACCACTGTTTCTCCTAGAGCTAGACACAGCTAATAAAAAGGGCCCAGAGCAGCCTGTCGTCCCAGGCCCCCAAGAGCGATCAATCAAAGAACAGAGCTTATTAAACTATCCAGCCAGAGAGATGGGTTGCTCCAAAAATTTTAAATCCCCCTGAAATTGACTCCTAAACAAGGCAAGAGACACCCATGGAATAAACATTGGTATTTAACCTGTTTTGCATCACTTAAGTCTTACATCAACTCTCCCCATTTTATGGATGGGTAACCTGGGGCTCAGAGAGGTTGTAGTTGGATGGACGCATGCATGGATGTGTGGGTCAATAGGTGGGTGGGAGGGTGGTTGGGTGGAGGAGGGGATGGATAAAGAAGTTTCTTGCTAAGGTCAAGAGAAAGTCCTTGCATCTCTCCAGAAATGCAGAGCCATCACACATGTTTTCATACTGAAGCTCCTCACGGGAAAGGGCTTCGCCTGTCACGGGGCCAGTGCAAAACAAGGCCACGCTCTGGCAAAGCCGTTCCCTGGACATAAGAATATAGACGGGATCTTTCCATTTTTAGTTGCAGCTTTGGAGTCAGAAGAAGCAGAATCTTGGCTCCACCGTTTCCTTACTGTGTAAACACCTCTGTGTTCAGTTTCTGCATTTGTAAAACGGAGAACTACCCAACTCATTTTTCCATCGTCAACACTGACCTATGGGGCAAAAACAAAAAATTAAAATCCCAAGCAACTCACCATCTTGTTGGAGAAGCTAAGACACAGATGAGTTTAATACAGTAACGAACAGGTTTGCCACATGCCATGCCCTCCCACCCACCTATTCACCCACGCATCCAAGCGTGTGTCTGTGTCCATTATCTGGTTAACTGCTCCTGGAAACCTCACATGATCGATGCCACTGTAACTCCCATTTAACAGGTGAGAAAACTGAGACCTGCAGTAACTGGTCCAAAGGCATACAGCTTATGAGGGAGCTGGGATTCCAATGAATGCAGCCTGGCTCCTGAAAATGTGCTCTTCCGTATCACCTCAAGTGTATGCCACCTATTCCCAGATGACCTTTAAGGGCCCAGCTGATGTTCCTTATAAAATACTGGCGGCCAGGGGCGTGGTGCCCTAGGGCCACTGCTGCCTGAGCCCAATCTCTTCCCCCATTCCTCTCCCTATATCCCTTCCCCTGTTTCTACTTCTCATGGCACACCAAGACTAGGCAGAGAGGGGTACAGAGAGGAGACCAGTGTAAACTGAAGGGCCCATCTTCCTCCCTGCCCACCAGCTTCCCCACCAGCTCTAGGGCAGGGGTACTGGTCCCATGGTATTCTCTACCCCAAAGACCATCCTCCTGCTGATCCCGGGAGTCAGTGCCCATGACAGCCACCACATGGGGCTGCTGGGCTTTGACACATGGAGGGATCTGACTTTAGTCCTCAGGCTCATAATAACATCTCTGTCCATAGAGCTCTTGCCAGGGACCGGAATAGCTCAGGTGCTTTAGGTATATCTCTCTTTCAGTTTAATCCCCGTGACATCCCCGTGAGGCAAGGAGATGCCACATGGCCAGTTCAGACAGGCTGTCTGACCTCAAAGCCCTGCTGCATGTCAGCTTGCTGCTTAGTCTCTCCCTCTTCACACCAGGTCCCCTCCTGCATAACCCCTGCCCCCAACTAGGAACTGAGCCTGCACAACCCAGGCACGTGCCCTGACCTGGAATAGAACCGTGACCTCCTGATTCACAGGTCGACGCTCAGCCACTGAGCCATGCTGGCCAGGCCCAAGTAGTGTGGAAAGCTGGTTCTGACTCTTGGCTTTGTCAGGCTGGGGAGAGTCAGCAGGTGGTCCTCCGTTCTGGGCCACCTCCACCACTGAGCGTCAGCCTCGGGGTGGGCTGAGGCTGATAACCTGAAAGACCAAGGAGTCTCCCCGGAATGATCTCACCCCAGGTAACCAAATGGAGGCCCACGCAGAGTCAACCCTGCTGCCTCCCCTTCACTTGGGTCCTAGAGAAAGTGGCCGGCATGTATGAACTGAAAATGCAGATTCATTCAAGCCTCCCCAAGCCATCGGAGGCCAGAGCATAGAGATCCCTTTTGATAGTAGGTAACAAACAGAGAAGAATCCCTCCCCCCTCCCCCCTTGCTCCTTAGATCACTTGGCTGTGTTGAGGGCATGGCAGAAGCAACACTGGGGCCGGGGGACACGTGACAGCTGCAGAAATGCAAGTGCCAGAGGGGACGGGGCCAGCAGTGTGTGGCAGAAACAGAAGAGGACAGGTCACAGGTCACCTGGAGCAGCCCGGACTCGTTGCTCACACGGGAATCACTGCTGGGAGCTCCCAGGGAGAGGCATTTTGGTTTGGGGAGCAGATTCAGGGAGGACAGGGCCATGCTGGAGTGAGAGAGAGTGTGCTTACTGTAAGTTACTGTAAGTTAGCATTCCTAGCAGCCACAACCCTTATTTATACATGTTCCAAAAGGCCGAGCTCCTGCCTCAGGGCCAGTGGGGGGTTTTAGAGTTCAGTAAAATGCTGGCCATTGTTCTTTCTAACAGAGACAATTCAACCAAGGGCCCTGGCTGCAGGGGGAAGGGACATTCCTCAGCCGGGGCTGTCCCACTCCCGGCTGCCCAGTCCAGCAGGGAAAGTCATCTGAGCCAACTCGGGCCAGCAGCGACCTGCGAACTATGGCCCAGCGCAGAAGGGAGCCAGGCCAACTGGACTCCCGTCGCAGGAATGGGAACCGAGAAATGCCGGAGGCCGCAGGACTGAATTGGAAGGTTGTCCACAGGGGAGGCCAAGCTTCCTGTGAGGAGGAGAGACCCAGGGGAAGCAGGGCACTGGTTAGTGGAAGGTGTGCCGCGGGAAGTGAGCCTGGAGGTGACTGAGAAAGGCAGTGACAGGGGTGGAAACCACGTGGTCCATGACACACAGGAGCACCCGGGGCACCTTCGGTCCCTGCTCCAGCCCATGCACCTCATTCCCTTTCTCCGGAGGTGATGAGAAGTGCTCTGCTCCTCAGAAAACCAGATGACAGAACAGGAGGGGAACTCCCTGCCGGACTGGGGGAGGTTCGGGGTTGCAGGAAACCCAAGCTCCAGTCCATGGTGGCTTTGCAGGTTACAACAGGAACACTGAAGGACTGTGTGAGCAAGGCGGGGAGTCTGCACGTGGCGATCAGCTGCCTCCCAACCACGTCCGAGATGACACAAGAGGAAGCTGACTTTGAAGTCCTTCCCACACCTGACTTGAGCCTCAGGAAGGCAGGCAAAACTGTGCAGTAGTTACCCAGGCCCCGGAGCCAGACGGCCTTGATCCCCAGCTTCTGACTGTGGGACCTTGAAGGGGAAATGTACTCTTCTAAGTCTCAGTTTCCACCTCTCTAAAATGGGACTAGAACCTCCTCCTCAGGGTGTTGGGGATGCTGTGGGGGTGGGGGAGGTCAGGGGGCTGCGGGGTCTCGGGTAAACCCTCTTCTTTCTTCTTTAGCTACTGTCATGTGTATAAACTCCTCCATGAAGGGCAAGCGGTGGAATTAGAGGTCGAAGAATCCCCTGTAGAATTTCCGACCAGCAATGCCCAGCGTAGGCCTGTCCCGTGACAGGAGCACACCCCTTCTTTTCGTCACCCTCCCCCCCTGGGGCTCGGTGGGGAAAGAGGCTTTCAGAGTCACCCGGCCACAGACAGGCCTTCCTTGGCCAGACTTATTAATAGGAGCCTGTCTGTTTCTGTCTGAAAATAGCCTTAGAAAGTTATTTCAAATGAGCTTCCGGGTGGGTGGTCAGATCGCTTTTTATTATCTTCCTCTCAGGAGAATTGAAGAACTCTCATATTTTCCTGTTTCATTTATAGCAAAACAGTCATAACAGGAAGATCCATGGCTCTGAGTAACTTCCTGAGGCAAGGATGCCCAGGCTCTCCGAGGGGTCTCGCAGTCAAGCGCC